TATTAATATATATATATATATATATATATATATATATATATACAAAGTAATCATTCCAAACTACCTCTTAGAAGAAGGAATTTTTAAATGCTTACAGCTTTTAGTTTTCTTTGAACTGAAAGATAATACTTGAACTTGGGGGGCAGGGATAGCTCAGTGGTTTGAGCTTTGGCCTGCTAAACCCAGTGTTGAGTTCAGCCCTTGAGGGGGCTACTTAAGGATCTGAGGCAAAAATCAGTACGTGGTCCTGCTAGTGAATGCAGGGGACTGGACTCAGACCTTTCGGGGTGCCTTCCAGCTCTATGAACTAGGTATATCTCCATATATTATCTGGGGGGAGGGATAGCTCAGTGGTTTGAGCATTGGTTTGCTAAACCCAGGGTTGTGAGTTCAATCCTTGAGGGGGCCATTTGGGGATTTAGTTGCTCTTGCTTTGAGCAGGGGGTTGGACTAGATGACCTCCTGAGGTCCATTCCAACCCTGATAGTTCTGTATGTATTGAGTTCTACATAGACTAATGTCAAAAATTTGCTCCTGTTTAAAAACAGTTCATTTTGTTCCTATTAATGTTTAACTGAAGGCATCAGAGATTTAATAGTATAGATAAGAAGTATGACTGACTGATTATGATTAAATTTAGTAAAATCTAATCTTCATTGTAGAAATTATGTTTAATAACCCAAAAAGTATAGCGTAAAATGACTGCATTTTGATAAATCCTTTAATGACCAAAACCCTTTCTAAATCAAATCTGTGACAAAAAGCTATTCCAGACTTATTGGTTTTTACTCAACTGAACATTCTTTGACATTTAAGTTATTTATATACTGAAGAAGGTGGTGGGTGTTTTTTAGGTCTCTTAGCTACCATTTTTATATTCCCAGGGGAATTCTGCAGATTGAATGGTTAAAATGTAAAAGGCTCAGCAAGTTCAATTCCATGGTGTAACACCTCCTTCATCGAACAGAGGAAGTTGGATGCTCACCCAGGTGATATGGGGTAATGTGGGTGAAGCAATCCAGCCTGAATTAGCTGAGCTCTTGAGCATACAGTATTGCCAACCCCAAATGTTGAATAATCCTGTCAGGCTCACTAAAAATCATGAGACTTTGTAACCTTTGTAGTTACCGTCTGCTTTTTGAGCCTTTAGGGTGCACTAGGGACTCATTTTGAAGCTTTCTCCACAGCCGTAAGGACTAGAAAGTTCCATTTTCTTTAAGAATGAAGGCTGGAATCGTCATATAACCACTTGACTGCAGGAGCTGGGGCTTTATAGTCTGATGGTCAATATTCTGGAAACAAAGATGAACAAGTTAGTTCAGCGTGCTCTCTATCCATTCTGCCTGGACGCAGATAAAACAGCTTAAGGAAAAGAATGAAGACCCATGTTCATTATTCAAAATCACTTTGTTT